ATGAAATACCAAATAAAGCAAGCAAGAACATATTCAAAGAGAGAGCTGATATTCACAATGGAAGAGAAACTGTTCCAGTAAATAAAGATGTTTTAACAACCTCCCCACAAAAAGCCTAAAAATGCAGGCAGCAGGCAAGTTGCGAAGCAAAAAGCATAGCCCTCTTAAAAACAGCAACAGCATTAAGGAACATAGGTTGTAATTATTTTGCATCTGTCTCCACCCAAGAACAATGACATCAGATTTCCAAAGGGAAGGGGTAGGGGGAGGTGAAGGAGGAAAGGGGAAGTATGAAGACTACTAATTTCATATTAGACAGCATCAGGCTAAGCTCTTGGACAAGTGGGAATGCTTAGTGAGTACACAACAAAAGGATTAGCTGTTTTATTCAGCTGTTTTTAGGAAGAAAACAGTGCTTGGAGTCATGTTCTCTGTAGAACTTGGTCAAGGGAAGATGCTTCCATAAGGCTCTTGCTCCTGCTAAGGAGCAAAAGCAGGTCTGCCTTGCCCTTCCCACATCCAAGTTAGAAGGAGATCCTGGCTAGATGAAGACACTTCTGGTAGAGAAGAGTAATAATTTGCGCGCCAAAGTTGAGAAGCACCCACACACTACTGAGCATTACCGCTGACTGATTCAGTAATCAGAATCAGGGGCTGATTTTCCAAAGAGCTCCATCACATTTAGGCTCTTACAATGGAACAAGGACATCAGATGGGCTAGCTGGGAGCTTCAAGTTAGCAAAAACACTTGAGCACGTGCTTAAATATTTATTTCAGGAGAGAATTCATGGAATAGATTTTAGAAAAAATTCTTTATCCCAGAGGAAGGAATGCTGACCAGTATTTAACTCTCCCCCATCCATGAGTAAGTGCTCCTTTCCTTTTGGGTGTTTGTCACACACGGTCTTCCACAGTCAGGCCTTGGCAAGCCAAGAACTTGGATTTGATGTCAAGATGAAGACCATGATGCTCTTCCATAGCATAAGTGTTTTTGTGACTTTTGTCTCTCAAACTTAACCCAGTTTCAAAATCAGCATGTTCCCAAGATTGAAGAGCAAATCCCAAACATGGGCAGACAACTTAGAGACCTGAGCAAACTGCTGCAACCTCAAATTGGTCTGGGGCAGCATTTCACTTAAGAACAAGTTTATCTCCTCCTCCGCCCCTGCTGCAGGAAGAGGAACTCTAACCAGGAAGCATGCCATACAAGAAATGTCCCAAGTTTAACAGGGGCCTAGGAGCCATGCATCTGCAAAAGAATATCCTAAAAGAATAAGAATATCCTCATGGCTCATCCACTTTTGAAGTTCCCCATCTCCTGCTCAAAGGATAAAGATTGATGACTGAGATGGAGAAATTATCTTGCAACTCACACAGGCAGAAATCTATTGATGAAAGCCATATTATTTATTCAGTGGCTATACTGTATCACTGTTTATCATGAGTCAAGGAGGGCTGTAGACAAATGAAACGATCAAAGTCATGTGCCAGGATAAAGGAAACCTACCAAGCTGTACTTGTAAATTATCCTCAGGATACAAAGTTGCCTGAATGTGTGGGCCCTATTAAAGTTAACTGTATCTTAAGACTGGCTCATTAAAAGCCTTATTATTTAAGGGTCCTCCAGCTTGTAGGGCTGGAGGGTGGATCGGTTACCTGTAGGCACATTATTTGTGCAGCCAGAGTCCATGGTATACTTACTTTTGTACACCTGCAGAACCAAGTTCCAACATGTCAAGAAGCCAACGAAAGGTGTTCCTGAGATGTATTCAATACTCTTTTGGATAAAGGTCACCTCCTCATTTGACAAGTCTCCAAACAGTTTCTTTGACTCCAAGGCAGAGACTGACTGTGTGTATAGTACCCAGGACAACATTGCCACTTATCTTGTAGCGTGCCAAGATTGTACTGTGGCAGGCACGGTGCAGTTCCATTGACACTGGAGTCTCTAGGCACCACTGCAGTAGAGATAACGAATGCTGACCCCAAGAAGCTGTACATAAATATTTTCTGGGTTGATGGTATGTTAACTTCACACACAAGAGTTACCAGCAGGATAGAGGCCTTTTTGCACAAGATCCAAGTGAGAAACCATCTGTCATTATCAATTCAGAGAAGCAAGGCAGCCTGGCAAACCCAGAACCGCTGACCTTTTGTTTTGCATTTTAATAACCAAGATGAAAATTCAAATCTCCAAATTGTCAGCTTCAGCAAAATACAAATTGTAACTGCTGCCAGGATGAAGAGTTACAGCAGCACAGTAGTTCAATCATCTCTCACACGCTCCTCCTCTGCTCTTTGATCTGCTGTTCTAAAAGTCTCCTATTTACATTCACCTCTAGCCCACAAAGTCACCTGAAAGGTTTTGCTTTGTAGCACTGGGGACAAGTCCAAGCCCAACAGGACTCTCCTCCTGACTTCAAATGGTAAGGGATTAAAATTTAGGAGAGAGCCAAGATATCTGGACTCTTGCAAAGGGCGCATCCCTTGATTAGTCATGCTCCCTCTCTGCAACAAAAACAAACCTACAAGACAGAATGCTTTGTAATATGTGACCTGGGTATTAACGTTAGATGATGATACAGCAAATAGAGAGCAAGTGATCTAAATAAATAAATCAAGCTGTTTTTCTGCTTACATCTGACCAGTTGCAAATGACTGCTTATTCTCATGTGCCCCTCATTAGCAAGCAGCACCTGTGTGTTGCTAGATGTGGCCTCTGAAGCACTTCTGATCCCAAAAGCTACCGACATATTTTATCCCCGTGCCGCACCCATGCTTTGTTAAATCAGAAGGTACAACAGACACTTTGTGCTCTCATGGAATGCAAATGAAGGCAGGTGAGAAGAAATGAAAGTAACTTCAAACCTGAGAAAGGACTAAACATCATCACCTGTGATCTAAAGCAAAAGCATGGAACATGTTATTATCTCTTCCTTAACTTGTGAATTAAAGGGCACTGGTGTGTGTGGGTGTGGGGGGGGGGGGGGGG